AAATCCAAAGCGATGGGCAGCGTTGCTTGGAAGAGTGGGCAGCACTCAGTGAGCGGAGGACCCAGGGGAAACACAGGTTTCCTAGCGGCAACGTGAGAAGGCGAGGGGCAAGCAGGGACCAGAATAGAAAGGGACTCAATGGCAGGGGGTGTGGGAAGATCTGGAGGTCCCAGATGGCGCCTGAGTGATCTGGGATTTGCAGGGTCTGTGCAAGTTGTGTGGGTGAGGCGAGCTGAATGCGGGGGCTCCCTGCACGGCAGGGAAAGGCCGGCTCACCCAGTGCCCAGAGGGGGGCAGTCCACGGGGGGCAGTACTGGCATCTGCCTGGTGGTCCCTGCCCCTGCCCCTGCCCCTGCCCCTGCCCCTGCCCCTGCCCCTGCCCCTGCCCCTGCCCCTCGGTTTGCAACCTGAGGCCTTGTAGTGTCTGGTGGGGGGGTGGGGGGGAGCCACCACCCCGTGCCTATGCTGCGTTTGTTTCCCCACCGTGGCTGAGACCTAGGCGCAGGTGACCGGCATGCAGCAACATCAGCAGGTGGCCCGGCTCTGCTGCTGGCTATCCCCTGAATTACAGAATGGGTTATTCAAAGAACACTTAATACCCTGGAAAAATTGCCTTGAAAAACCCAGTGGAATAGAAAAATAGAGTCTCTGGATGTACTCGGCAGACGCTGACAGTCAATTAAAATAGTTTGCAATTCCTGAGTGGGTGGAAGGATTCCAGGAAAGGAAGATGGGAAGCCGAGGCCAAGGTCAGCCCGGGCAGGAGCCGAGGAAGGGCGGCCAGGCGGCAGCGGCCCCTCTGTCCCTGACCAGAGAAAGGCCTTTCTGGGCCTCTCTCTCCCCATCCGTGCAATGGGGGGGCGGTCCCCGACCTCGGCACCCAGGGGCACAGGCAGGGGAAGGTGCTCTGCAAACTGTAAAGCACTTCCAAGCTTAGGAGACCTCACCTGAATACCCGGCAGCCTCCAGGGACAGAAACGCTCCGGGACAATGAAAACCAGGGAGCTTTGCATGGGAGTCAGGTTACTTTTCTGTTGTGATGCGGTGCCCACAGATGGGTCCGGGACGCACTTTCTAGAAGTGGCTGGAAGGGAAGCAGACTGAGAGGAGAGAGCAGCGTCCCAGGAAACCCTTGTTCTCATCAGTTTGGAGACTATTTTCTGAGGATCCCTCCTGGGTATTGGAATGAAATCCCTGCGAGCCCAGGAATAGAACCAGCTCTCCGTCCCCGATCTTGGGCTGCTCGCTTCCAGAGGCGATGCCCCAGGTCCCCGATGCAGTGAGCTCTCTGACAGAGGTCCTCACGGGGAGGGCAGCGGAAGCCCTCCGCGGTCTCTTCCCCCCACATTTCAGAAGTGGGACAGGTCGACATTTGGGGCGAGACAGGGACTAGGATCTAAATGAGTTTCCTGAGCCAGCTACCTGGCCAGGAGTCGGGTCCCTACCCTCAATCACCTCCCCACTGGCCGGAGCCCCGGTAGCCTCATTGTCATTGTCACTGTCATGGAACTAGACAGAAGAGGCACCGGGAGTGACAGCCACAGAGGATCTGAGGGCGCCTGGGCACCGCTGGAAGTCGGAGCCGGGCCAGGCACTTCCAGAGCCGCACAGTGACAGGTCAGCTAAGTTTTTCTGGACAGTCTCTGGGTAAATTAGATCTTTAGAAACACTTAGGCAGACTTTTGTCACTTGGTGTTAACTGTGTGTGTACGCTGCAACTACTTTAATTGGTTTCATGTCTGGAAGGAGGGACGGAAATGGAAGTGTGGCTCTCGGGGGACCAGTCCTGGCACTCAGATGGCTTGTCATATTTCCTTTTAAACCTGCAGTTCCTCTCCTCAAGGCGAGGGAGGTTATCTAATTATCTTTTGAAGACAAGCCTGTGCCGCAGACTGTTAGCTCAGGCTGCTCTCATAACGTGGCCCCAGGTGTGGGTGGAAGGGGATGAAGTGGGGGTGTTGGGGGTGTGGGGTGGACCCATGAGCTTGCTCAGGAGCCAGGAACTTCCCACCCATAAGACTGGAGGGCAGAGAACAGTCTCCATAGGAACTGGCACCAGAAAACTGAATTCGATCTCCAGTCTGCCTCCTTTGGCTGTGTGACTTTGCACCTGTCACTTGCCCTCTCTGAGCCTCAGTGTCTTCAGTTGTGGATGTAGATGATTCTCATTTTGGAGTTGCTGAGAGGACTGGATGATATCGGGGGCACGGAGCCCATCCGCCCAGTGCTGGGAGCGCGTGGTGAGGCCTATAACCGTGGTCGTTATTTATCACGGGTCCTCTGAGAGTTGCTACCCATGGGGCGAGGCCAATCCTTGATATTCCTGTCGCTGGAAGAGCTCCCCGTGGGCTGGGTGGGACCTATGTGCCACCAACCACAGAGTGAGAAATTAAAGTCCCTCCAAGGCACACAGCGTACATGTGCCCCTCCGTACAGTGCCTCTTCCCTAAACTGTGGCCATGACCCTCCAAGAGGTTCTGGGGGAGCTGCTCACTGCATCTCAGGCGCCCCGGGGTTCTGTGGTCACAGCAAAGCTGGAGCCCGTGGTCCGCGCATGCGCAGGGGAGCTCAAGCCCGTGGAGCGCTCCAGGCTACGGTGCCTCTGCCTCTTCCCTCCAAAGAACAGGGGCCAAACGTGAACTGGCTTCCAGCAGTTGCACAGCTCATCCTTCCTCTACTTTTTATTCTTTTAAAAAACAATGGGTAAAAAGAATACGCAGGTGTAATAAAAACTGCATATCTAGGCACTATCCATCCATCATCAATTTATCAGTCCATCAGCTATTACCATCTCTCTACTCATCCGTCCATCCATCCATCCATCCACCCACCCACCCATCTATCCATCCATCCATCCATCCACCCACCCACCCACCCATCTATCCATCCATCTATCCATCCATCCATCAATATATTGGTTCATCATCTCTCTATTATCTATTTGTCTACCCACCTATTGCCTATCATCTCTCGTCTGTCACTAGAATGCACACAACAAGGACCCCATACTTCACTGTCCTGTATCTAGTATCGACCACTAGCATAGACCACTTTGTTTCAGTGAACATACATCTACTTTTGAAAAAAACCGAAACAGGCACTTGATAGGGCCCCGTCTGGATGCACCACCGGTTCTTTAACCAGCTCCCTGCTGATGGACACTGAGCTTCGTTCAAGTATGCGGCGATCACAAGTCATTCTGCAACGGACATCCTTCTGCGTGGATCTTGGCACGCTGTTTAAGAACGCAGGACAAATCCCTGCAGTGGAGTTGTTGGCGCAGAGGGGACGTGGATTTGAACCGATCATGCATACTGTCAAACAGTGTTCTAAAAAAAGACTGTCTCTATTTATAGACACACTCAAACTCCTCTCAGGCCACACACTCACGTGGTTGTTCAGACGCCCGGGAATCGCCTCCCGGCCCACACGGGAGAGGCCCGCCTGCGGATGAGCCCATCAGGGCAGCCGGCACTGGCCGTTCTTGTGGCTTTTATGGCTCCTCCTGCTCCTATCTCTCGCATCACTGTTTTCCTTTACGCTTTATTTATATCACCAGACCCAAGCGGTCTTGTATCTTGTTTCTGTCACAGTTTTTATTCACTTTCTTGGCATTTCTCTCAGGGTTTTATGAGTCATTTCTTGTTCCAGCTCCTAAAACTTCTAACACCTGCATCCTGGGGATTGGGTCGTAGTCAGGAGGTGATTAGAATACCGAGGGCCCGCAGGAGGGAATGCAAAGCACCCCCAGAGCACTGCATCCTCCCTCTGGTGATTTGGGGGAGGGTGTCGGTGTCCTGTCCTTTCCCAGGGGCCGGCCACTCTGGGGGTGGTGACACTCTGGGGTTCGTTTCCCTGTGAGCAAACTTCGGGGTCTCTGCTCAGGCTGCCCTGGGGGTCGCTATGCCTCTAGAACGCCTGGCCCTCTTCCAAATGCTCTCAAAGTTCTTACCTACGCTGTGGTGTGTCTGGAGGAAATCATTCTCCACTTGGTCATTTGTCAGCAGGCCCAGGAAGCAAGGGGGGGAGGAAAGCCGGGTTGAATGAGAAATCACAAAGAACCAAACTGTCCTGCAGACTCTCCAGGGAGACGTCGCTTCCGTCCTCCAACGAACGTCAAGGTCTTCTCGACTGCGAGGGGACTGCGAGGCGCCGTCTGAAGCCAACAGCAGCAGCGAAATTCATCACCCTGTTTCCGTGTTTTGCTTTCCAACGTCCTGGTGGGGACCAGGAGCCCGGGACGGCGGCATCTGCGGGGACGTGAGGGAGTCGCGTGTGGAGCTGCCACGGTCATGATGCTAGTTCATGGGTGAAACCCAGCCTCCCGCGGTGTCGAGCGATTCTGCTGGGCCAGGCCCTGAGAGCCAGGTGTTGTTAGTAACGGGGGCAGCCCACTGACTGAAGGTCCTTACCTTTTACCAAAATACTGGCTATGAGTTTATAGGAGTAATTCAATACATATGTGATAGCGGAGAACCTGCCAACCCTGCCTTTTCATTAGGAAAGTTCCTGTCGAAGACATAAAATAAAGGACTCTACCCTGGAACCCGGCTGCCTCTGGAGCGTATGTGGCCTGCTGGGCTGTGTCTAACACGGCAGCCCCCAGCAAGGGGAATTTTGCTGCCTCCTGACTCTCAGGGGGTTGTCCATGTCTTGGGGGGTGTGGGGTTCGGGTGCAGGTTGCCACTGGCATCTCGTGGGTAGAGACCTGGGGTGCTGCTGAGCGGCCTGCAGTTCTCAGGAGCAAACGCCCCTCCCACTGCCCCCCCACTGCCCCCCCCCCCACATGCACTCACCTGCAACAAAGACTTCCAAAAGCATCTGCGTCAGCCACACTCATCTACGATACAAACCCTGACATCTGGACACGGAGGGGTGGGTCTCTATGTGTGTGTAGGTTTCCACATCACTTCCCAATAAATTTTGGTACCAGAGAAAGACACCATAAACATTCCTTTTTGTTTTTGTTTTTGTAAAAAAGAAAACATTTATTAGGATATTCTAGGGCGGGGGGATGGAGGCTGAAGGGACTACATACGTACAATCTGTAGTGCTTGAGCAAACGCGAACAGAAAATTCAAACATCACAAAAACCACTTCCAAAATCCAAAGAGCAAAACTTGGACTCTCAACACATGAATGCTCCTCCGCGGGCGCCGGCGATAAAGCACATCGTGAACAGCTGTGTGGGGAGCCACGTGGGAACCACCCCGGGAGAGCGCGCAGGTTCCGTGGGGATGCAGGGTGACGTGGGCGTCCTCTTCTACGCGTGGACAGCGCGGGACACACACAGTGTGAAATGGGGACCAGGAGGCCAGCCGCCCACCTGTATCCACTCTCAACAGGTAGAGGGAAGCCCACTCTAACCCTCAAGGGGGCTGGATGTCTGAACCCCTCTCCCAAGACATGATCCTGAACCTCTCCTACAACCCAGAATCCTCCTTTTATTCCACCTGCATTGTTCACCTGCAGGAAACAGAGAAGAACATAAACTGAAATATACCCTCGGGTTAAAAGTAAAAATGCAGCGCCATCCAAAAAGAGCACAACGGAAACCTCCGCATCCTAAATCCCACACAGCTTCTCGGCGGGAGTTGGATTAAACAAGAGAAAATAATTTCAATATCAAGGGATAATGAGGAGGAGATGAGAAAACTCTTTAAAGCAAACCGTGGTGCAAAGTGTCTCCTCCCCCTCCCTCAGGGGGACAAAGAGAGAAAAGATAGATAATTAGGAGAACTATAAGGCCCTGGATTTCAAGTTTCCGAAACCGGTTCTTCAACCCTCTGAGGACAGGCAGCTGTTTCTGAATCCAGAAAAGCACACCAGAAATATCTGATCACTGTAAGGCCACAGCCAAGATTGCAGGGCAATCTGTGATCTGATGCTACGGTTCCCATCCTCTTTCCCCCCACACTTTCGCTGAAGCTTAAACAAAATCCAGATCGAGCACACTTTGCACGCCAGAAGAGAGAATGCTGGATCATGCCGCCTTGCAGCATTTGAGACAAAGGAGCTTCATCCATGCACCCTAAGTGAGAAGGTGCAGAGCAGCTCAGAATACCTCCAGCTGTACGTGCAGCAGACTCCCTGCCTGGCCCCAGCGACAGAGGACAGAACTTTACCCACGTTTCCCATACCCAGAGTGTCCGTCTATCCATTGCTCCAATTCTTCATCCTACTTCAGCCTTATGATCTACACCATACTCGGCAAGCATCAGGGGTCACTGCCAGTTCCAAGTGTTGCTATTCTGAATGAGCACTGCTAACTTTGCCCCCGTGGCTAAAGCACTTCCGGTGTCTCCTCATCTGCACCTTGGCTGGCACCTGGTGGCTGTGACAGCTCACTGGTACATCCGCCTGACCATGCTCACAGTCCCTCTGAAGCTCAGAGGGTGAACCCCCTGGGTTCTCCATGGCAGCCTGGAGGCTCAGGCTGAGGACCGGTGTGTCTGCCTTCTCCCTTAAGAGTGGAGCTGCGGGCTGGTGGTGTGTGCATAGGAACCCAGATGTACTGGGCCTTACTTCTCAGAGACTGAGCCTGAAAAACAGCTTTGTGGACTATTTATAGGGAGAAGTTAGATTTTCCAAAGATACCAAAGCGAAAGAATATGCCGATCTAGAAGAGGTGGGTGTTTCTCTTAAGTTGCTGTCAGAGGTCCCCGAATTCTCAAGTGACCCTTGGGGGACCATCAGCTCCAAAGGATGGCTCGCCCCACTAGAGCAGATGTTCAGAAATGCACTGAATTGGGAACACCTGCGTTTGCTTCTCAGCTTCCATCCCTAGGGTTGGTTTGGGACTGGTGGAGTGGTCCATTCTGCCAGCATCCTGAACTTAAGGCAAATCAAACTATCAGCAGACTCACTGGCTAACTTCCCATGAAATTCTTCCTCCCCATTTCGGGTCCTATCCTTTCTGGGACAGGCTGGTCATGCTCAGCTTCTCCTGGGGACAAATGCTAGTTTTCCCTCTCTCTACAGGAGACACAGTGGGTAAATTTAAAGTTGCTTTGAATCCAATGCTTTCTTCCACTCTTCCTCCCAAATCACCTTCAATGGCCTAAGGAGGACCCTTCCGTGTCGACGTGTAACAGCTTGGTGCCATAAGACTACGTGAATGGGCCAGTTCTGGCTACTGCCTTACAGAACCCAGCCCTTCAATGTCCCAATGGAAGTTATCCACCCGCTGAGTGGTGAGCACCCACTGCGGGCCACGCCTTCTGCTAGGGCAGGCTGGGTGAGCGGGGCGAGATGTCGGAGTAAAGGGAGGGGCTGACGGTCTCTGGCCCATCTCTTGGCACTTCCCACAAAACTAAAAAGGGGGACTGGTAAGAAAGCCCAGCCTGGGACGAAGAGAAGAAAATCAGAGAAAAAAAACCTTCGATGGATGCTGGTTCTGGGCTTGGCAGCTGCCCCGCAGCAAAAATAAACTCCCCATGGCAGCGGGACGAGATGCTGATGGTGGGCACCTGCCAGAGGCAGACAGCCGAGGTCGCAGCTGCGCCGGTCAAATGAGCCCGGAGACTTAGGGGGCTGCGACCTCAATGGCTGCGCGCAGGCTGCAGCGCTCCAGGGCAGGGTATTCGGGCCTCCCCCACCCCTCTGGGCTGGGCCTCGGAAAAATCAGAAGTGCAGGTGGCGTGTCCGCTGATCCACCCGCGCTGCCTCTGTCCGGGAGGGAAGAGGAGCTCATCAGAGAGCACAGGCAGCAAAGGGACGCCCGGGGAGGATGCAGCAGGCGAGACTAAGCTACGGACAGGGAGCTCAGGGGAGGGCGGAAAGGATGAACTTTCCACTCGGGGATTAGCCTCGTCTTCAGATGGTCTGGCTCTCGAGAAATTCTCCTCCAGCTTCGAAAAGCCCAGGGTTACACGTAAAAAAGGCATCTGACAAAACGAGTATCAATGTGGGCAGGACTCAATTTGGAGTGATGAGGATAAAGAACTGATGGGAAGGGACTCTGGTACATACTTAGGCAATAAGTAACGATATGGGGGTAGGGGTGGGGCATCAATAATCAATAGGAAATCAGCCAATACCTTAAGACAAATGTCCCTGGGATATTGGAAATGTCCCACTGAATACATCCCAGGTCGCAGGCAATGGTGAAACCCCCAGGTTTAAGGCCTCTGCTGTGAGCATGTGTTTCAGAGGTATGGTCCCCATGAAGAATTCTGGACGACAGACTTAAAAAGAAAGGCCACGTGAGGATAAAACTGTGTCAAACTCACGGCGTGTCTGATCTATACATGAGATGCCTGTCTTAGGAAGAACAAGAATTTAGCTTCTTAGGGCAGCCCACCAAATTTCCAGCTGTTCTACTCTTTTGGAACTTCTAAACAAAACTTCTTTTCTCTGTCGTCCAGATGTTAGCTCTGGCTTGCTTCCCACAGACACAATGCTGTCCAGCCCAGGGAACTCGGGCTCTTTTGTTAGGACGAGGTCTCTATTCGGATCAGTAAGGGACGTCAGCAGGCTGAAGGATCCATTCCCCCAGGGCAGGCGCCGGCCTCTCGCTGTACCTTGATTGGCCTCATCTCTCCAAACTCCTCAAGGTCCGTGCAGACTGGCCCTTCTGCTGGGACCGTGCCTGGGACATTCGTAATTCACTCACGCCTGTTGCCATTGCTTCTGGTCTTTCTTGAAAAGAAGGGTCTCCCACGGTCTCGTCTTCGTCTGCTTTATCGAAGAGCAGCAGCCACAACCATCCACAGGGGTCTGAGCTCAGGAGATCGAGAATGGCGTCAAAGGAGAGTGAGCGAATGTGAATTCACTTCAACAGTGTCTTTTCTGGCCCGGAGTTTATTGACTCAAGTCACATGTGTCTGACTACATGAGTGAAAACATGTTTCTGAAAAGATAGCTCCTCCGAGACCGCTCTTTTTACAAATAATGCCAACAGAAATACATTTATGCTGGATCCTAAGAAAAGCATTTCCTAATTATTGTAACTCCCACTGCTTTCATATCTCTGTTCCCAGGCACTCCCCACTGTCTTTGAAATGCGTCTGCTCCCCCACTTTCCTAGCTCGGCAGATGGGGTGTTAGGGCGTGTCTGACTCAGCGCACAAAGAGGCAGGTGGGAAGCAGGGTGCAGCTGGAGGGGACCCACCTTCAGAGTGGATGCAGGACAAGAACGGTCTGAATACAGATCAAGCCAAAGGCCACCACCACCCTGGACGAGCCCTGACCTGTGTCTGGTCAACTCAAAACACATGGCTTCTAAGACATTTTAAACTACGGGATAAACCATTCTCTAAAAACTTCATTTTAATGGAAACCACACAACTACCACACGTTGGATACGGTTTGCTCTACTTGATGCAAACCAACCTGTGTAATTCTCAACCTACATGTGTTCTACTAGGGGCTTGAGAAATTCAGGCATGGAAAAATAAAGATTCGGGCGGCATTCTGAATTCCTTCTTTCTAGTGTGCCTTTCCTCCTTCATGTGCTCTACTAAACAGATACACGAACACAGACTGGCCCAAGATATTCAACATCCAAGGGGAATGAATGTGCTTCTAATCAGTTTGGCAAATTTGCCTTTCTTTTTCCATGAAATAAGTCGGGCATGGCTGGACTCGATCTGGGAGTCACGGTCTATGTGAACCGAAATCACTGTTTTTGTTGCGTCAAGGTCAACCACCATGCGATGCTTCCTGCGTGAGGCCTGAGCCTCAGCAGACAGCCCTTGTATTGGGTGGTTCCCTGGATGCAGGGACTGAAAGACAAGAGGTAGTGAATAATTTTTGTGTTTAGCACTGCAAAAGAAAGTCGGACAGGGAAAAGAGCTGAGTCACTTGCCTGCTCCAATCCTGGGGCAAAGGATGGCGTCTCGGGGCCACTGAGTTAAACTGAGATCACCCCGAGTGGCAGAAAGACTTGCTTGGCATGATTTTGGAAGGATGGCTCTAATGTCTTGTCACTGAACACCCTTTCCCGCCCCCAGTTATTTAATCAGCAATTTCTTTTCAGACTGAGGATTTGGTAACTCGAATATGCTTCTATCGCTGAAGAAAAATGAGATCTTTGTTGGTGATAGATGAGGCTTTTCGAAATGTAATTTGTGTGTTGTACGTTCATGCATTCCTCACTGAAGGGATACCCTTGTTAGCACTGATAACGCCCATTTCCTCTTGGTCATCTGAAGCTAATTAGGGCTGCTGTTTACTGCAGAAGTAATCAATAGCTTTCCACAGTAGATCACATAGAATCAGACCCATAGGCAATTAGCCCAGTGTAGATACACAGGGATATCTTAATTAAAACAAAATATGCCTTGTAAGGGAGATACTGTCATAGGTGACTGGAATTTTAAAATATTCCAACACATCTCCTGGGTTCATTCAAAGGAAGTCTTTAGGAAACCTTTCACTAATCACATTTGTTTGATGAATTTTCCTTGAAAACATTTTGCAAGTGAAAAAAAGTTGGCCCTTAGTATTATCCATTTGTGTTTATTAACATTTGGATATAAATGCACTTCAAACACCAATCAAGCTCCAAGACTACGCCTTCATCTTGGATTTAATCAATTTTCCATGCCAGCAACTTGATTAATTCTTACAAGGCAAACGTCAGTGGGCAAAGGGGATCAGTATGATGTGGGCACCGTGGCTTCCCCCTCCACCCCCTCTACTGATGTGACAAGAAAGGCAATTCTCCCCAGCAAAGGTGGAACCTCCTCTACTTGGTTCTGGAGAAACATGGCTACCAGAACCCAACTGTTGTAGGTCCCGAATCTCTTCATTTCCGCCGGACTTCCGAAGTGCGTGTTACGCTCTGCGTAGGGGAGAGAACAATGGATGATATGCAGTGCACAAGCCAGATGCCGCATATTCCTAGTCCTGTTCTGTTCTGGGTATCTGTGCCAACCAGCTCATCTCCGCAGGCTTAACACTGACCTTGATCCATAAATCTCTCTTTTTTGCACAGTCAGCCATGGTCTCTGCCATGGCGGATGTAGAACAAGATGCAAGCCGACTCCAGATGACCTCCAGAGCAAACTGCTCTCAACAGCAGCCAAGCCATCACAGTGGGGAGTCAAGACACTCCTTAGGAGGAGAACTCTGTACCCTGGCATGGATCTGCTTCAGAAGAGAGGGCAGCGCGTTCCCATGCCCTGTCCCACTCAAAGCTGCCTGTGTCAGGCAACGTGAACGCCAAGATACTAGATTGCGCGGGTGGCCACAGTACCATCAGACACTGCAAAACATTTACGAGTGGCCACCAGTTTCTTCACAGGTAGGCACGCTTGCAAATCCAAGAAATGATAAAAGCCAGCGGTTGGCCGCTCCATTTCCTCCTGCCTGCCCACAGTAACGTGGCACAGAGCTTTCTGCTCAAGCACAAGGCTCCTTAGGGTCAGCTTCTGAAGGGGCTGGCATCAGGAAGTTAGTATTGGAGCTAACGCCACTTGTGAGAGGAAAACAAGCTCCACATATTTTGTATTAAACCATCAGTAAAAAAAGGGAGACAGTATCATCATTACCTTCAAAATACAGAAAGCCAATAGATGAAATCATTTAGTAGTAAATTTTTTTTTCTACATAGAACCTCATATGTGTAAAGAGTATATTATTAGAGCAACGACGCTTCAGCTGTATTGGACTCTTCGTTAGTTTAAGGGCTTCTCGTGTGGGTAAGGCTCAGGAGAGTGTCTCTCAATGACCGAAGCTCTGGAGTCCCACTCCCACGCTCACTCGCTGTTCTCGCTAGAAGACAGACACTACGTTTGGATGTGACAGGCGCTTGCTGTTCGGTAGGAGAGGAGAGTGCGGAGCTGTTTACAGAACATAAACGTTAGCGCAGAAAAGGCTCGAACAGACAGAAAGGTGAACATCGGTACAGGCTTGTTTGCACAGCATCTGCCGGGATTCTCTTGATGAGAACCTTTGATTTGCAACTGAAACGCTTGTTAGGCTGCCGTTACATGTCGTCAGAAATCAAAGCCAGCATGAAATGTGGACGATTCTTGGGCGATACTAACTCTTTTGCTAGCTAGTAAAGGCCAGGGTTAAATTGTTCAGATCGTTATCATCATCATCACCATCATCATCATCATCATCAAAAACATGGCCCCGGCTGGCTTTACAGCCAAATTAACACACTGTCCCTTCACAATACAACATACCCCAACGCCTTGTGGGTTTGGAATGTAGCACTGCATTGGGTTTCCCATAGAAGCCCTAAGGATCACAAGAAGCTTTCTTTAAAAAAGGGGGAAAAAAAGGAAAGGAAAAAAGTTTCGGTAGGGTGAAACTGTTGGGAGCAACGCCTCAACTGAGCGCCTAAAACTGGAATTTCAGATATACAAGAGGGCAGGAAACAGATAACTTGGTTTTTTGTCTTTTTACAGGTCCACACTGTTTTTGGAATGCAGCTACAATGTTTCCGCCAAAGACAAAGATAAGAGGGTGGGCAGGGCGGTTACCACCAGCAGCAGCCGTGGGCTCAGACCACAGCTTGGAGGAGCAGCCATTGATTTTGTGGTTATGTGGCTGGAGGCACCGGCGAGCCCATCCTTTTCATAATCACGCTGTAAGAAAGAACGTTTTCATTATCATCCACCGCGTGGATTCATTCGATCACAGTCTATTTTAACCACACATCTCCCTCTCTCTCTCCCACCCCCGCCCCTAATGAGCTCGATCACTCACCAAAGCTGACCCAGGATTTTACCAATGCATTCACTACAGTTTTTTGGGAAGCATCACGAATCTGGGTGAGAACCAGATACTTTTGATAGACTGCCTGCTCAACATTTATTTTCTGGCTCCTCTTTCAGATTTTAGAAATTAAGGGGAAAAAATGTGAACTGCCATTCCCCGCTCCACTCCCCAGATGCCGGAGTCGCTATGCGATGTCTCCTTCTGGGTACCACCGGCTGCCCCTCCCATCGAGGAGGCAGGACAGGAAGAGGCATCTGAGAAGACCTGCCCAGGCCAGGACTGGGCCAGATGGAGAGAGATCACCCATCGCATCGGAGACCAGCACAGCAGGCAGTGGCGGTCCTTCCCTCCGTTGGCCATCCAACTCGAGAGTTTACAGATGGAGGAGCCTGCCCTGCTCATCAGCTTCCTCACTACGCGGGAAGCCAGGCTTCCCTAGGATGCGTTCCTCCACCCCCACTCCAGCCCATGATGCTGCATCTCGCCACAGTGACCCACGACCATGGGAGAATCATCCATCTCCTCGCCTGGAAATTGGGGACAGTAACGTGGCCTGCCCCCGATATCTCTGGGTTGCTATGGCAATGAAAAGAAGTGTAGATAGAGGACATCCGGTGAACAGTGAGAGTAGTTTTCTGTCCCGGATGGTATTATGTGACTGTGGCATTGGGACAAGGGTGTCCATGCCGGGTCCTCTCTGAGGCAAGTGTTGTCTTCGAGCCCTTCACGTCATACCCTGCCCCAGGGGCCCGAAGACTCTGTCTCTAGAAATGCGGGGAGATCCAGAAAGAGACACAACTTACATCAGAAAGACAGAGGTGTGTGCTGCCCGACGCGTTGGATTTCAGCTTCTGGGCCTGCGGAGGGACAAACACACATGCAGGAATAAAATGACTCCTATGTAATATGAACGAGTACTTCATGATGCCCCACTAACCAACTGTCTAGGACAGGGCCATTAATGGAAATATGTGAGCCCCGCACGTAATTATAAATTTTCTAGTAGCCACATAATTAAACAGGTAACAAGTGAAGTTCATTTTAATAATGTATTTTACTTAATCCAATTATTTTCCATCTCAATATGTTAACCAATATAAATATTATTGAAATACTTTGCATCTTTTTTTTTTTCCATTCCAAGTCTTCAGAATATGACACAGCACATCTCAATTTGGACCTGCCCCATTGCAAAGGTGCAACAGTTCCCTGTGGCCGGCAGAGGCAGCACAGGGCAAGGGGGTTGAAGTGTTGAAGTCACTTACATTTTGAACTCATTTATGTTTTTGAATGTTAATTTTGGGGAAGCGCCTTCAAGGTAAAAACGTTGCAATGAAAATCCCCATTTATTAGTAATATAGAGATAGGCATTCCTGAAGCCTGTTTCTTTGTCCACTCCTTTATCCATCGCTCCAGTCAACACTTACCAAGCTATTTCCCAATGCCGGGCATCTGGTGATGTGAACAAAAGGATGTAGTCCCTGGGCTCCTGGGGCTGCCCCCTAGTAAGTAAACCACTCCCTGCTTGGGAGCTAGGACACAGGACAGGAACTCCGTGAGATGGGTCCCCTCGAAGAATCGAGAAATTGCACATGACCGATCCCCAATCCAGCATTCTTAAAACTCAGCTGCGAGAGCTTTAAGTTCCCCAACTCCTTGCAACTGGAACAGGTCTCCACTGGGCCTGTACCTGGGAACTGAGTTGTGGGCAAGTTTTCATTGCTCAGACAAGCGCAATGAAAACCACTAACCCGATACAACCCTCTCGTTTTGTAAAGGTAAATGATTCGGGTGCAGAGACATTACATGACTTCTCCAAGGTCACAGAGCAATTTACTTGTGCGTCGGCATATACAGACCAGGTCTCTACACTCTGGAAGGAAAATGTGCTCTTTCCTGCATTACAGCATTTCTCACAGGGACCTCTAGCATGTTTGACCCTTCATGCTCCACCTGCCCCCAAATCCACACAACCCCTCCCAGGACCTCTGCCCACTCAAACAGGAGCCCAATGGCACCAAAAGTCAAAAAGCTCCTTTGCCTACAGGATGACCTCGGTTAAGCATCACACCAGAATCAAGGAGTATCCGGGCAGGCAGCTCCGTGTGAAAGGCACTGGGAGACTGCCTGTTGCAGGAAGACTCTGCAGCTCGTTGGAGACATGCTAGCTGAAATGACAGCATCTTCACCCGAGGAGTAATTTATAGGCCATAATGCTGCTTGGGAGGCATCATAATCTTTACGTATATTTGCATATATGCCAGCTGTGAATATGAAATAGAAACCTTTAAATAGGCGTCAGGGATAAGACACTGGGAAGCATCCCCAGGCTGTTCAAAGGTCACGAAATGTTATGTGTAAGAAGGTCAGAGGAGAAACTGGAAGAGGGGTTGAACCTGACTCCAAAGCCTGCTTTTAATCTATATTAAGGGCAAATCTGGTCCACTGCATTGTTACCTGCAGAGAACGTGGAGAACATCACGTTTGATTTCTGCTCAAGAAATGAATTGGAATTGTGCCCAGACACCAACATGCCCCTAAAACATCACATTCTGCCTTTTCTAAGCCCTAACCTACAAAAGACATAAACTTCTGCTGAGGGCCTTTGCATAACCAAGAAGTTTACTAAAATGTGCGGAGGAGGCAGCCAGACCTCCTCCTAGTCTGAGACACATTACAACTTCAGGCTGTTTCTGGACTTGTGCTCAGAGCTGAGCTGCCCACAGTGGCCTCCGAGGGTTCCAAGGGCTGGGAGGCCTCCTTCCGACTGGGGCTTGTTCTGCAGAGTGAGCACGAGCACCCAGCGTTCTCCTCATTTTACACACAACCTGAGACACTCACCTGCTATGTGTGTCTTCAGTCCGAAGTGACTCACGGTAGAACGCTCACCGTGATTAAGCGCCTGTACGGGGCTCCCACCAATATACTAGGACAGTCTCCCATCTTAATACATTTTCTGAAGTGGTTTACAGATCTGCACAGGAACATTTCTCGTCCTCATTGGTCACTGAGTGTTCGACTATGTACAGGATTAAAGGCACACCACCAAGTGGACATGCGCGGGTCTAACTTCCCAGGCTCTGGCCCTCCCTCTGGGGTGGCTGGGATAACGGAGCAGTCACAGGAAAAGAGACATGCATTCAGACCAGCTCCAAGTCTCTAAAGTCTCTGGGCTCATCTCCCCCCAGAGTGGGCATCCTGTTGGCCTCTATGGAAAGGAAATCGTCATCTTCTGGCTTTGTCTCCCTGTAACCCCACTGGTTTCACTGTATCTGGGAGCAGCAGCCCCACACTCATCTTGCCTTGAGGACCATTCTGATTGGCATAATTGGATAAAATGCTGAATAAACGTAGTAATGGACAGCCAGGCCCCGACTCTGAGAGAATGCCTTCTCCCCTGTTAAACACCTTCCAACCCACGGAAGCAATGAGCATCGGAGACTTAGTGGACCCCACACACAGGCCTTTAAGTACTCTGTTTATACAGTAGATTCACACAGCTTTGCACGGGGCAGTCTGGGTGCAGACCCAACCAGAGTGGTCCGAGGGTTCCACCTGAACCTGGCAAAGGACCTCAGGAAGTTCTGTTGAGCCTGATCTGCATAGACTCAATGCCACCGACGCCAGGCAGAGTGATAGACTGGACGTCCAGGGCCCGTCAGGATTCATAAGCTGTGGATGGAGGGGCAGAGCTTGGGATATGACCAGTGCGTATCAGCTGGCTGCACTTGACCACCAGTCCTGTATGCAGTCTGAACCCTGCCAGGGACCCCTGAGGTCAGACATCTACCTGTGCGGCTTCAGGGCCCACCTAGGAAAATCTGGCTTTTAAAGCCCATTTTAGAAACCTGAGCAACCTGTCATTTCCCCATTTTAAAGGCTTTTATCCCGAGCATTTTTGAAAACACCATGAAGCTATCACTGTCTGCTAGTCAGGTATGATGAATGCTAACATCAAATTAAAGGGCATCCCCCACTCTCCACTCTTGCAGAGAGTATTTACATGCTTTAAATGCTGTCTCTGATGAGGAAAACTGGGATGGCCCCAGGAAAGTTAAAATATTTTTTAAAAGTCTCAGACCTTGTAAGATAGAAAGTGAGTTAGAAACCAGAAGAACACCTTTTATCACCGGGGTCTAGACAGGTAAAACTGAAAGTGTAACAGTGGAAGTGTTGGCAGAGTGCTCAAGGTCATGTCTGCGAGCTGGCAGCCTGCTCATTAACAGGAGTGCAGGACGCTAGCCCGACCTACCCAGACGCGAGCCCTCACAGTAGGTGGCTTTAAAATATGATGTCTCTTAAAAAAGGAGAGAGGGGAATAAAGAAGGGAAGAGAACAGATTCATTTTTCTAAAAAGTCAATTCGGACCCTTGGTACAGCCCGTTGAAAAATGACTTACTTAATGTCTTTCAGGAAAGAGTGTTTCCCAACAGCTAATTCTCAGCTATATGGTTTCAGAGAGTAAGGTGCCTGACTTGGGGCTGGGAGTGGGGGGTGGGGGGGAGACACCACCCCCAAAGCACGGAACCACAAAGTTTGCATCCTGAACATGGAGAGATGAAAAGGACACGACAGAAGCCCGCCCCCAAACCAGCCGCCTTGCTGTCCTTCTGGAAATCCGGAGAACTGGCTCTCCAGTCCCTTCATGAGCCCGTCCGGCAGTGTTATAAAACTGTCACCAGCAGTAATCCGCAAGTCTGGGCACGTCACATAATAGAATTGCCACGGCACGGTAATTGCAGGGCCAGACCTCACCAGTTCCTGGCACTAGAGGGTTAATAAATGCATTAGATGCTGTTAACCTCTGTTACCTGGAGTCAGACTGCCGCCTCTCCTGCTTTTTACCTCTGTGATTAGCATTTGGAAAGCCTGCCCCGGTGCCGATGGCTTTCCTGTACCGAATGCACAGAAACACACATAATTTACAGCTCCCAGTTGAGCCCGCTCCTCAGCCACTGCGCACGCACACACCAGCTCTGCCCACAGTAGGCCGTCCCCGGCCTCCGGGGCCAGCGGTCAGGCGTCGGAGCAGCACGCTTGCTCTGTCTGTGGAATTAGAGACTTAAAAGTGCACCCACTCAGAACCGGGCGTTCGCAGTCCCAGAACTCCATTTCTGTCGAGAAGCCAGTGTTTAATCTCGGGGTTTTAGGCAGCTGTCAGCCAGCAGGGTATGGAACATTTCTCCGCTCTCTTTTATGCATAAGAAAAGCCAGTTTCTGCTCTACCTCCAGAAAATTAAACCAAAGGAAGTTGCCCAATCCAATAGCAGCAGACTGTCCAGGCTGCAGCCAAATGGTCACAATTAATGATGCTTCTGGTTCTTTTCTCCCTTGCTTTACTGATTAGAGAGATTTGCTATATTAGGAACCTGTTTGCTTAATGACAGAATACAAGCAATAAACAGAGAAATACACAGACTGTAAAATGCAATCAACTTTGCTCTCCAGCACTCACTAAGTACCTCGCTGCATCTATCACACTTGTCAATAGCAGTTTATTAGCATATGAGTCTCTTCTGCAGCATAAATTGGACCTTTGCTGGGGAAAATCGTTGCATGAGTTCTTCCCGAAATAGTCCAGAACTCACAGCCATTTGGCAATTTTAATCTCCATACCTTACATTTTCTTGTAAGACACGGGAAGAAGGATGTGCCCCTAATTCTGAAGGATAACTGAGCAGACTAACCTCCTGCAGAGTCTCCATTTTTCAGTTGCATTTTAATAAAGCTGACTAGCCTGGTTACACACGATATACCTGCTGTGCAGATGTGTACACCTGGTTTTATGGGTAGTGCTTGCTATAGAACAGTTGTATTGTGCGTTTGATGTGTATTTGCCTGATAATTTCTGCACAGT